AATAAGAATAAATCTTTAGGAAGACAAAGAAAAGGAAAGGAAGAGATATAGAGTATCAGGTAACGCCGACTGTGGCTGCGGCGAATTCGTCTCCTTTTCTCCTCTTTCTGTTGTCGAATGTGGCGACTGGCACATACAAAAAGATTGATGTTAGATTATGTTTCTGACACATACGAAAACTAGAATATAATAGAAAAGTGCAACAATGGGAAAGTAAGACTCTCACAAAAAGATTGAACACCTACGTGCATGCATCATCTGCCTGCCCAACCATCTCTGTCTGTCTCTTTACTAGCCTCTTCATCATCCATACACCATCACTCTTCTCCACAACATCCTCATCTTCCTGAAAGATAAGAAAGCATACTTGAGAACATGCTGGTGCTGTAAGTGAAAACCTTAGAGAGTGTTAACAGAAGCTTACATCTGAACCAACTGGATCACTCATTGATTCCTGATACAATAAGAAGCAGAATTAGGAACATATTATCAGATTTACCAACTAAAGCAAACCCAAATTATACTTCAGCTAAAGATCCTAGAGCATTCAAGGTGATCAGCAGACCCTGGGAGCTAATGCTACTAGAGGACATTATAGAGATTAGTTTCACACAATTCCCAATAGGTGTTAAATGAACTAAAGATAAAAAAAATTCCCTCCAGTAGACATAGAAAAAGAGAGAAAATTTCATGGTAACAATCCCTTTCTTTTTACTGTTTTACATGGACTTCATTACTAATTCGGTGAAACAACCAGGGTGGGGACACAGCTAAGATCATTAATTCATCAGATGTGTCCATGACAAAACCCATGGTCATTAAGGAAAAAAGGGGGAGGGGGAGCGCCGAGAGACTTTGCCTTCCCTTCATCTCCTTTATGATGTGTAGAAACAAGGGCATATCAGCACACACAACACATAAAGATATATTCAAGTCACAAAATCTCACACCCCCTTTCAGGTGAGCATGAGAATACCTCTTCTTCTCTCCTCTTCTCTGCCTCATCAAATGCAATTTGCTCTGCCTGCAAACACATATGATCTCAGCATTAATGAACTGTAAATTCCTTAACAAAGATTGAAAACATTATACCGCAAATAAAACACACACTCTTTGTGCTTTCCCCAAGTATCTTCAGCAAGCTGCTTTGCATATTCAGGATCATCACACACCAAAACATTATCAAACAAGGTCCCAGACTTTACCTGGTTGATGGAAATAAAATGTTTGACAAAGATTTTAAATTCTGTAAAAAAAAAAAGAACAAATAAGAAGCAGCAAATATGGAATGTAGTGACAATTGCCTGCCATAATTCAATCCTCACGTATCTCAAATGGTGGTAGACATAAATATCTGGTTCGTCCTTGAAATCTGAAAAAAAAAATAAAAAACAATATCAAAGTATTCTTTGAAAAAAAAACTGATTGCAAGATGCATAAAGACAAAGACACATAAACATATGCACAACCTGGGTTGTCGATCATAGGAGCCTTCCACTCCCCCATGTAGTTTGGATTCTTTATGCTCCGCAAAAATATCAAGAGCAGTTATAAACTATGCTTCTAGAATACAATAGCAATTTTCAAACAGAACATATTTCAGCTAACCTTCTGCTTCAATGGCCCCTTGTACTTGGGGTTTACAGTTTTTGGAGGTGTCCACTCACCATCCTCCTCATCATCCCAGTCTTCAGGCTTGAGTGGTAAACATGCGGTTCAGTACTACCTTGCTGTCTATAGAGCTATGCTTACAATAAAATGCAAAAGACCAAACAGGAAAAAATAGAAGACTTGCCTTCTTAGCATCAGTATCAGGTATCTCCACTGGAATGTCATCATAGCCCTTTACAAATAGATATGTAGTCAGATTGCTAAATCTACATGTCAGGTTTCAGTTAAAGATCACAGCAAAACTTCATGAGCAGAAGAAGTTTACCTCTGGTTTCTTGTCTTCTGGATCAGGAATATACTGCTGATCGCCCCAATCATCAGGCTGTAAATGGCCAAGAAGTAGCTATGTTGTCATCAAAGTTCATCACGGCCATACCATAATCTAAGAATAGAATCCATAACTATTTTTTTATTAATTACTTTCTTGGCTTCAGGATCTTTGATCTTCTTTGCAGGAAGAATCTTCCAATCAGAATACAAACTACCATATCGTTTCTCCACATTGTCAATTAGGATGGTATAGGTAGCATCAGGTTTGAGGATGAAAGTATAAACATGAGTCAGCCGGTCAGTCGCACAAGGCACATCTTTCTTGAGGAAGTAATTCGATCCATTGTAAGAAACAATGGCATGAACTTTCTTGGTGCTGTCCCCACATATATCAGGTCCAAACATGATACTGCATTTCACAACACACAGAAACACACCAATTTTCAAATTTAGACCAAAAACCAAAAAGAACCCTAAGCAGGGAAAACAAAAGAACACTTGACAAGAGGGAAACAGTAACACGTTACAAATTACAATTGAAGAAAGGGAACCTACCTGTATGGTGTACCACCGCCAAATTTCTTTTGATCAACTTTACCACTGAGTAACTTATAGGATCACTGGGTCTCCACTCCACCTTCCAGAAGTATAGTTCCATTTGCCAGCCCTGTTCTCGTGTTTCTTCCAATCAGAGATAACCCACCGTTTCTCCCAGCCATCTTACTCGTTTTACATGGTTAAAAACACTCAGCAAAATTTTATTGAGGACAATAAATTCTTGAACAAGGAAGACAATATAAAATAAAGAAATTTTAAACTGTGGGCACCCAAGTGATCTTAGTGATGATGAAAAGAGAACCAATCAATGTATGCTAAAGCGTATTTCTTTATCTTAAGTTTTGGGGAGGCGAGGGTAGGGGTTTGGACTTTGGAAAGATGATTTAGATCAAAAACATACCAAGTGGTCTATCGCTACCAAGTCTAGGGTAATTAGGTTAAAAAATATACAAACACAATGCTATAAATTATTTCTCCTCGTGGTCAAATAAAAGCAGAGATAACTCCAATATCAACTGATATAAACGCACACAAATTTATTTTTCTTTTCTCCTAATAAAGATCCATTGTGAGGCTAATGATGCTATGGAAAACATGAAAAAACAGATGACGACTAAGTGATTCATAATGGAAAAAGCAATTGCCCCAAGGAAAGAAAACATTATCCAACAATATAAAACAGGTGCCGCTGTCCATTATAGGCCATAAAGGTCTCCTTTCAAGTTGTGAATCTCTAAAGTCCACTCCCTTTGAGCACAATTTCAATATTTGGTATATATTCCTTCTCCAAAAATTCTTTACAGAGGTTTTTGGCTTAGATCCTACTAACAAACATGTGTTGCAATGAATTCTAAACCGAAGTTTTCATTTTACCAAGCACCGAATACATAAGTTCAGTCTTTCGAGTCATACGGTTATAAATTCTTCATCCTAAGGCGAAATGTACTTAGTTTTAGATAGGAAGCCTTGTGATCGGTGAGATGTAGGTTTGAATTAAACATATCAACACATTTATTGCGATGAATTTCTATTGCTTGTATGTCAGTCGGTGATAATTACTAAATATGTTCAAGAGTGTAACATCTTCGTTTGCAACCGCGAGCCAGGGCAATGTCAGCTTCCGAACTCTACTTTTTTCTCAAATCATCTCTAAAGCGGAAAAAAAAAAAAAAAAAGAGAGGGTGATTTCTTGAAACCTAGCTAAGTAAAATTCACTGATAAGAGAAATAGAACCTCGTCCAGGAAATCTGTGGTACCTTCAAAGCGCTCTTCGAAGAACACTTCAGCCGAAACAACTGCTAGCAAAGAAAGGACGATGGCGCCGATAATGTTGATGATATTCATCGGAGTCTCCATCACTGAAGAGAGCACTCTCGGGGAAGTGGCTGTAGAGTATCCTATTCCTACAAGCACGCTAGTCTCCTCTCTCTAATTGTCAAGGTGGTATGGTAGTTGACCGATAACCTCTTTTTTTTTTTATCAAGGCCAATAACCTCCAAATATACTTTTTAAGGGAAATGGCAGTTTGTCCTCGAAAGATTAAAAAATTCTCAATTTATACCCTTAAAAATTAATTATTTTAAATTATACCCTCAATTAAATTAATTGATAGCAGTGTGACCCCAATCATAACGTCCATTGTAATTTTCATCAAATTAGCAGCCACATGAGACATACATGAAAAAGAGAAGGGTTATAATTTAACAAAAATCATCATGTACATTTTAAGTTATATAATATGGATACTTCAAAAAGATCAAGATATTATTTCTCGGATACGGATACGCGTCCGATATGATTGGATACATATTCAATACGGGATGAGAAATATTGTAAAATTTAAAAAATAAATTTAATTTTCGAATATAACAGGATACACCTTGGATACGAATGAGATATGTTTAAGATAGCCGGATATTATTTGAATTTTTTAAAAAGTATTAGAGCAGAAAAGCAAATATGTTTGGGCCTTTATAAAAAAAAAAATTATAAAACCCCAATTCAGTCGACGCCCCCCCCCCCTCCCCCCCTCTCTCTCAATCGACGATCGACTAACTCTCTGTCTCTCGCTCTCACTCACGATGGACTGACTGTATTTGACGCCGATCGACGACGGGTATCTCCTCTTTCACCTCCAACGACCTGTATTTGACCCCGATTAGCCCAACTCAGTCGACAGCCCCCCTATCTCTCTGTGTCCAAGTACAGCGGGTAAGTTCTCTCCTCTCTCTCTCTCTTTTTCTGTCTGTCTATCGTCTCTTTTGCCTTTTACCAGCGATTACCATGCCTTTTGAGCCTTGAATTAGGGTTTGCAATTAAGGGGTTTTTTTGGGGGCCTTGAATTAGGGTTTGCAATTAGGGTTTTTTTTTTGGAGCAATTTGGAGAACAATCTATACATATACAGATATACAATAAGGTAATGTCTGGTTCAAAAAATTAGATGCCTGGTTCAAAAAATTGCAAGTTTTATTATATACATAATGCTTGGTTTTATATACATAATGCCTGGTTTATATATACTGATTCCAAGGTTTTTATATACATAATGCCTGGTTCAAAAAATTAGTTGCACAATAAGATGGATGTCCTTGAATTTAACTGCCACTAAATTTTACTGCACTGCTGATTCCTTTTATTAAATTAATAATTATAGGGGAATGAGTAGGGGTACAGAAAGTATGGGCTCAATGGTTTCTTTTGTTTAAGCATGGACTTGATATTATGCAATATGTATGTTATATAAAATGGATGATTTATGAATGATAGAATGATTATTATTATATATCTTTGGTAGATGTGTGATTCACTTTATAAATCATAATTATTACATTAAATATAATAATAAAATTTTAAAAAATCTATTTTTTATAAACGTATCCTAGCCGTACCCGGTTTTGTTTTATCGCCGTATTCGTATATGTATCTGTGATTCATAGGTTATAGCCTTAATATTTAGAGGAGGGATACAAATAAATAAAAGAGAAAAAAAAATCTAACAAGACAGTTTTTCAAGCAAAGATTGAGAAAATGTCATCACAGATTAATGGTTTGACTTTATATAATGCACCTACTTCATTCATTTAGTAGCCAATTTCTAACGTAATGAACATCTACTAGTAAACAGAAACCTTATGCATTTTACGTATAACTATATGGAGCTCATTTATTCTATTTATTATCTTAAATTCTTTAGCAAAAAACAACTTACATCTAAAAACATCTCTACCTTTTCTCGCTAAGTGATCAGTATTGTAACATCATGTTCCCCTTTTTGTGAATCGAAACAATCTACATTCCAAGTAAAATTGGTTCTACTCATGGGGTTATACATTTATGTTTAGGCTTTCCTATTTGGTCTAAATAGGTTGTGCCTCTATTTTTTTCTTGTTTAGCTCATATGGTTGAAGCCAGCCCCCAGCCTGGATGAACATGGGTTCTGTCAAGCAAATGGCTGGTGTTGATATGCATTCCATTGGCTTTGTGCGGGTGAACTTCATGTATTTAATTTGAAAAAGCTAAATTGAGTTGCTGATGAATGATGCAGGAGTCACAGGACATATAATGGAGGCTCAGTTGCAGGATGAGATATCACCCAATCCACGAGTTAGAGCGACACTGCACCTTGGATCAGAAACTTATTCTGTTCATGTGAAGAAGGGAATTCTTTCTGAACAATTGGTTTCAATGAAGGAGGAGAGCATGAGCATCCTGAAGGAGTTCATCACTAAACACAACGTTCCAAACGATGACCCTGATGAGCCAGATGAAATTTCCTCAGAAGATGATGGTGAAATCCCTGAGAAGTCTTCTGTGAAGTCAAAGAAGCGAAAATAGTTTTTCTTACTTTAGGGATTAAATTGCACAACAAAACATTTGTGGTATCTGAGAATATTTGTTAGTCAATCATGAGTTGTAGGTAATATCTATGTCTGTTTAGGCAACATTGCAAGTTCTTGCAAAATTGTATTAGAGAAATACTTCTGAGAATGTGTTGGTGGTCATTCTTGCTTCTGGTATGATTTCTTCGTACATCACCTAGCATTTTGGAAGCCCTTCCCTTGCTTTTGTTTCACCCTTTTAGATACGTGGCTTTAATTTTTGCTCTTTCTGTTGAGGCCAGAGCCATTTTAACCTACTGAGAAGCAGAAGGGGGTAAGGAAAGGTGGGGGAGTGCAAGAGAAAGTGAGAGTTCCACAGGGAAGGTTTTGCTCAAGGTTTTTTAATTCTTACTATTGCCATTAAAATTTTAACTGTAATCCTTAAGCAAATTATAGTAGACGCATTATCAAATGGATTTGACGTTTGTCCTTATAATAAAGCCTCCAAAAATTTTAAATTGTTGGTTGGTTGGATCAATTGTTTTAAATTGTCATACATGGGATGACTTTTGTCAGATTATGACGTTTTTCCTTTTTACTTGTATTTCATGTGTCTCTCAATCCAATAAAAATCGTCATGAACGTTATGATTGAGATTGATATTTTTGTAGAGTGGACAATCACTTAAAATATACGTGATGATTTTTGTTAGATTATGACCCTTCTCTTTTTCACGTATGTCTCATGTGACTGTCAATTTGATGAAAATTACAATGAACGTTATGATTGGGTCACACTGCTATCAATTAATTTAATTGAGGGTATAATTTAAAATAATTAATTTTTAAGGGTGTAAATTGAGAATTTTTTAATCTTTTGAGGTACAAACTGCCATTTCCCTTAAAAAGTATATTTGAAGAGGTTATTGGTCTTGATAAAAAAAAGAGGTTATTGGTCAACTACCATACCACCTTGACAATTAGAGAGAGGAGACTAGCGTGCTTGTAGGAATAGGATACTCCACAGCCACTTCCCCGAGAGTGCTCTCTTCAGTGATGGTGACTCCGATGAATATCATCAACATTATCGGCGCCATCGTCCTTTCTTTGCTAGCAGTTGTTTCGGCTGAAGTGTTCTTCGAAGAGCGCTTTGAAGGTACCACAGATTTCCTGGACGAGGTTCTATTTCTCTTATCAGTGAATTTTACTTAGCTAGGTTTCAAGAAATCATCCTCTCTCTTTTTTTTTTTTCTCGTTTTAGAGATGATTTGAGAAAAATTTAGAGTTCGGAAGCTGACATTGCCCAGGCTCGCGGTTGCAAACGAAGATGTTACTCTCTTGAACATATTTAGTAATTATCACCGACTGACATACAAGCAATAGAAATTCATCGCAATAAATGTGTTGATATGTTTAATTCGAACCTACATCTCACCGATCACACGGCTTCCTATCTAAAACTAAGTACATTTCGCCTTAGGATGAAGAATTTATAACCGTATGACTCGAAAGACTGAACTTATGTATTCGGTGCTTGGTAAAATGAAAACTTCGGTTTAGAATTCATTGCAACACATGTTTGTTAGTAGGATCTAAGCCAAAAACCTCTGTAAAAATTTTTGGAGAAGAAATATATACCAAATATTGAAATTGTGCTCAAAGGGAGTGGACTTTAGAGATTCACAGCTTGAAAGGAGATCTTTATGGCCTATAGCGGACGGCGACACCTGTTTTATACTGTTGGATAATGTTTTCTTTCCTTGGGGCAATTGCTTTTTCTACTATGAATCACTTAGTCGCCATCTGTTTTTTCATGTTTTCCATAACATCATTAGCCTCACAATGGATCTTATTAGGAGAAAAGAAAAATAAATTTGTGTGCGTTTATATCAGTTGATATTGGAGTTATCTCTGCTGTTATTTGACCACGAGGAGAAATAATTTATAGCATTGTGTTTGTATATTTTTTAACCTAATTACCCTAGACTTAGTAGCGATAGACCACTTGGTATGTTTTTGATCTAAATCATCCTTCCAAACCCCTACCCTCGCCTCCCCAAAACTTAAGATAAAGAAAATATGCATTAGCATACATTGATTGGTTCTCTTTTCATCATCACTAGGATCACTTGGATGCCCACAGTTTAAAATTTCTTTATTTTATATTGTCTTCCTTGTTTAAGAATTTATTGTCCTCAATAAAATCTTGCTGAGTGTTTTCAACCATGTAAAACGAGTAAGATGGCTGGGAGAAACGGTGGGTTTTCTCTGATTGGAAGAAACACGAGAACAGGGCTGGCAAATGGAACTACACTTCTGGAAGGTGGAGTGGAGACCCAGTCGATAAAGGTGTGATACTGTTTATTTACATCTTCTTATAGTAAGTTATTCGAGTTCCTGATGCAACTTTGCTTATTATCATTGCATTACATATGTTGATTGTGACATTTCATGTCTTTTTATTACATGATATGTTACTCCGCAATCACTTGCATGTCTTGGTTTAGGTATTCAAACCAGTGAAGACAACAGGTTCTATGCAATATCGGCCGAGTTTCCTGAATTTAGTAACAAGGACAAGACTCTGGTGTTCCAGTTTTCTGTTAAGCATGAGCAGAAGCTAGATTGTGGTGGTGGCTACATGAAGTTACTCAGTGGTAAAGTTGATCAAAAGAAATTTGGCGGTGGTACACCATACAGGTAGGCTCCCTTTCTTCAATTGTAACATGTTACTGTTTCCCTGTTGTTAATTGTTCTTTTGTTTTCCCTGCTTAGGGTTCTTTTTGGTTTTTGGTCTAAATTTGAAAATTGGTGTGTTTCTGTGTGTTGTGAAATGCAGTATCATGTTTGGACCTGATATATGTGGGGACAGCACCAAGAAAGTTCACGCCATTGTTTCTTACAATGGATCGAATTACTTCCTCAAGAAAGATGTGCCTTGTGCAATTGACCGGCTGACTCATGTTTATACTTTCATCCTCAAACCTGATGCTACCTATACCATCCTAATGGACAATGTGGAGAAACGATATGGTAGTTTGTATTCTGATTGGAAGATTCTTCCTCCGAAGAAGATCAAAGATCCTGAAGCCAAGAAAGTAATTAATAAAAAAATAGTTATGGATTCTATTCTTAGATTATGGTATGGCCGTGATGAACTTTGATGACAACATAGCTACTTCTTGGCCATTTACAGCCTGATGATTGGGATGATCAGGAGTATATTCCTGATCCGGAAGACAAGAAACCAGAGGTAAACGTCTTCAGCTCATGAAGTTTTGCTGTGATCTTTAACTGAAACCTGACATGTATATTTAGCAATCTGACTACATTTCTATTTTTAAAGGGCTATGATGACATTCCAGTGGAGATACCTGATACTGATGCTAAGAAGGCAAGTCTTCTATTATTTTCTGTTTGGTCTTTTGCATTTTATTGTAAGCATAGCTCTATAGAGAGCAAGGTAGTACTGAACCGCATGTTTACCACTCAAGCCTGAAGACTGGGATGATGAGGAGGATGGTGAGTGGACACCTCCAAAAACTGTAAACCCCAAGTACAAGGGGCCATGGAAGCAGAAGGTTAGCTGAAATATGTTCTGTTTGAAAAATTGCTATTGTATTCTAGAAGCATAGTTTATAACTGCTCTTGATATTTTTGCAGACCATAAAGAATCCAAACTACATGGGGGAGTGGAAGGCTCCTATGATCGACAACCCAGGTTGTGCATATGTTTATGTGTCTTTGTCTTTATGCATCTTGCAATCAGTTTTTTTTTCAAAGAATACTTTGATATTGTTTTTTTTTTTTTCAGATTTCAAGGACGACCCAGATATCTATGTCTACCACCATTTGAGATACGTGGGGATTGAATTATGGCAGGCAATTGTCGCTACATTCAATATTTGCTGCTACTTATTTGTTTTTTTTTTTTTTTTTTTTTACAGAATTTAGAATCTTTGTCAAACATTTTATTTCCATCAACCAGGTAAAATCTGGGACCTTGTTTGATAATGTTTTGGTGTGTGATGATCCTGAATATGCGAAGCAGCTTGCTGAAGATACTTGGGGAAAGCACAAAGATGTGTGTTTTATTTGCAGTATAATGTTTTCAATCTTTGTTAAGGAATTTACTGTTCATTAATGCTGAGATCATATATGTTTGCAGGCAGAGCAAATTGCATTTGATGAGGCAGAGAAGAGGAGAGAAGAAGAGGTATTCTCATGCTCACCTGAAAGGGGGTGTGAGATTTTGTGACTTGAATATATCTTTATGTGTTGTGTGTGCTGATATGCCCTTGTTTCTACACGTCATAAAGGAGATGAAGGGAAGGCAAACTCTCTCGGCCCTCCCCTCCCCCTTTTTTCCTTAATGATCATGGGTTTTGTCATGGACACATCTGATGAATTAATGATCTTAGCTGTGTCCCCACCCATGGTTGTTTCACCTAGTTAGTAATGAAGTCCCTGTAAAACAGTAAAAAGAAAGGGATTGTTACCATGAAATTTTCTCTCTTTTTCTATGTCTGCTGGAGGGAATTTTTTTTGTCTTTAGTTCATTTAACACCTATTGGGAAGTGTGTGAAACTAATCTCTATAATGTCCTCTAGTAGCATTAGCTCCCAGGGTCTGCTGATCACCTTGAATGCTCTAGGATTTTTAGCTTAAGTATAATTTGGGTTTGCTTTAGTCGGTAAATCTGATAATATGTTCCTAATTCTGCTTCTTATTGTATCAGGAATCAATGAGTGATGCAGTTGATTCAGATGTAAGCTTCTGTTAACACTCTCTTAGGTTTTCACTTACATCATCAGCATGTTCTTAAGTATGCTTCTTATCTTTCAGGAAGATGAGGATGTTGATGATGCAGAAGGTGATGGGTATGATGAAGAGGCTAGTGAAGAGACAGACAGAGATGGTTGGGCCGCAGATGATGCGCATGTAGGTGTTAAATCTTTTTGTGAGAATGTTACTTTCCCATTGTTGCACTTTTCTATTATATTCTAGTTTCGTATGTGTCTGAAATATTAATCTAATATAAATAGGTGATAGGGTGTCAGCAATACACACCTCACACACAATATTGTTTTATAATATCTTCCTATCTTTTGCTTCTTCTTCTCCTTCTCCTCAACCCTAATACAAATTATTCAAGTTTCAACCAGGTAACAGAGTTGGGTCTTGGAACCATTTGAATTTCTGGGTATTCATGTTTGTGTGTTTGTTTGTTAGTCCCATGTGCAAACCAGGTCTAAAGCTTGTATCCTACGTCAAATGATTAAGACTGCCTAAGATTGATTTGTATGCTTAATTACCACTAGTTTTGAATGCTCTACCAGGACTAACACGGTTTTATGATACTCAATATTTTACTAAGCCAACACTAGAAGGCACAGTTAGTCAGAATCAAGACAAGGAAGTGATCATGGTTTTTATGGAAACATTTGGAAAGATAGCAGAAGATGTACAAAGAAGCAAAACTTCTACAAGAAAAATAGGAAAGCTATATAGTAGGAAAGTAGAATAATAAGAAAGTAACAAAATAGGGAAGTAGAATAATAGGAAAGGAACACTCTTAACATTTTTCTTCATTTGTGCTACTCTGCATCGAAGCATTCATGAGTTCTAACATCCATGTTCATGATCCTTGTGGTTTACTTTTGCAGGATGAGCTGTAGAAGTTTGAAGATCAAAGAACCTGATGGAGTGCTTCTGGCATCAATTTGGCGAAATTACATGGTTGGGTGCTTACGACCACAGAATTTTGTGTTCTTGTTCTTGCCTTTGTACATAAGGGTATTTGCCTTGGTGGAAACAGTTCATATGACATGCAACACATGTTGCAACATGATTTCATGTTATATGGTTGAGCTGTATTGTGGTACTACTCTCACCATATCTGGATAAGAATAGATATAGTCTGGTACTTGGATAATGGGTTCGCCTGGCTGTTCTGTATTTAGTTGTTCTAGAATATGCTGCAAATGGATTTTTTTGCAATTCTCGTTTGTTTAATTATTCTATAGACATTTGCTTCTAATTGTCACACCTAACCTATTTCACTTCTTGCTGCCTTTCAGTTGACTACCAGTACAATCAACACCTTTATTGAAGCTTCTAAGAGTTGGTTCTTGTGTTCGACTCCCCATAAACAAAAACATAGAAGGTATGTTGTGTCAAGACATTTTTTTGACTTTGTAAACAAGCTTTTTTGATCCTTAGCAACTTCATCGACCGATACTTAATGGGTGGCTCAATATTTCTTTATGAACCCCCATCGAATATCAACTCTGAAACATCAAAGCACACATTCTTTTGGGGACAAGTGGTAAAATGTTTAGCATTGGTAGTACACTAGTACTATAATACTCACATACTTTTGCTAACCAACTATTCACACTTCTGCTAACGTTGCTGAAAGTACTTTACATCAACATTGCCTAGGCAACAAAATTTGAACTCCGCACGACTGGATGGCCAATATTCTCACAAATTTAGAACTTGTATATGCCTTCATTCAACAGAATTCAATTCATGGCCAGTCTATGACTAGAGATAGATATAAGTGTGGAACCCAAATATTTACTAGAAATCTGAGATTATCGTTTCTCAATTCCCTAGAAATTAATAAAACAGTGTATGATTAAACTATTTCATAACCAAAAAATACATAATTTAATGTACACAAGTACCATAAAAGGAAGCCTATGTCAAAAATAAAATGTATTACGTATATTTCATTTGCTTTGCATGTGTATGATGGCTTCCAATAGCTGTTCCCCATTCAGTGGTTTCGATAAATAATAATCCATTCCAGCCTGAATCATCGTGCTGGCATCCTCACCTGTTGAATGAGCAGTTAATGCGATGATTGGTATGTGAACGCCATAATATTCCTCTTCTTGTCGTATGTGTCTGGTTGCTTCACAGCCATCCATCACGGGCATCTGTTAAACCCAAGTACTGTACTTAGAGCATCTCCAATAGCGCTCTCTATTTTAGAGAGCATCGTTTTTGATATAGAGGGCATCTTTGATGAAAAGTTAAAATAGAGAGTGATACTGTTTTAACAACTCCAATAGGTTTCTCTTCTCGTATGGAAAATGTATGTTGGTCATCTTTTTCATTCATTAATGATAGCTTGAGTGGCAAACTCACTCTCTACTAGATAGAGTTAGTTTGCCACTCCAAATGTATAGAGAAAAATTGGGCTCTCTATTTTAACCGGTCTAAATAAAGAGCCCATTGGAGATGGATTTTTAGGGATTGACTCTCTTAAATAGAGAATTGAGTGATTGAGTGAGAATAGAGAGTCTATTGGAGACACTCGTATATTCTCATCCCAAAAATCAAAAAAGATGCCAGTAAGATACTTCATAGAACTTTGATAGGTTCCTTTCAGCAATTATACAATAAAAATGACAAATTATTGAGCAGTTCTTCTCATCTTCTCCATAAGCATATACTCTGTTGCAGAAATTCATACTGAGTGAGCTGGAAACACCCTGTATCGAGTGGGTTTAGTCAATCATCATCACTCATCAGCAATGGCAGATGTTTTCTTATGTATGTTTTGTTCAAACTTTGAGTAAGCATATGTTTCAGTAAACAGAAATATATTAGGAAAAAAAAATAGGAATATGGACCTTTACCTCGCAATCCATCAAGATATAATCATAAGGTAGAATATGAGCAGCTCCGTGCTTCCTTTGATGACTTAGACCATTGCAAACTAGTTGCAAAACTTCTTCCCCATTTTCACAGAGGATAACAGTTGCACCAAGCTGATAAAGACGAGTCATAGTTACTTTGCGTAACACTAAGTTTTCCTCTGCTACCAAGACTTTCTTCCCACTCAGAGGTTTATTAGAGCTTGGGCCGCCAAGTTCCTGTATTTCCCCCTGATGTGTTTGGAGGTTTTGAGCCCGAGAATATCTTAATCTCGGCATCAGGTGAGTCTTAGTTGCTGAAGTACTGGATTCTGTGTGAACTTTGCCAGAATGGTTCTTATTTTCTCCCTTTATTTTTGGTGGCATCACGGGCGTTATTCCCCCAAACTCTGGTAGAAGATTGATCACTTGATACAAACGAGAACCATGAAATGGCTTAGATATGATCAGATCTGTAGGAGGTAGCTTGTCCTTATCAAGGCCTTGGGCATTAATGCTTTGAGCACTTGTTTTATCTATCCAAACAACCCTGGTACAAGTTTTGCAGAGGTCCCTTCTAAATTCTGCCACAGCCCTACTGAGTTCTCGAAATTGTCCAGCGCTTGTATCAATTACTATTAATATGAAGTTTGGTGCACCCTTAGGTGAGTTCTCTTTTGGAGGGGTGGTATGTGATCTGCTCCATCTAGCATACTTAGGGGCACTTCCTTTGATCTAGTACTAGAGTTGCAGGTTGCTGGTCTGCTAAGGCTGTCACTTATCGTATCTTCCTGAAGAGCTGTAACGGGAAAGGATCATATTTTGTTTGATCTTCTTGAGAGCGTGAGGAAGATGCTCATAGTTGTTTACGGCAGACACTTCTATCCCTAGATTCTCTATGAATTCCTTTAGAATCTTACACCTGTTGTCGCTCTGAATGAAGAGTACAACATGGGATCCTTCTAGCTTAGGACTATGAATACAAGTACTTGGCCCTGAATGTTGATATGAGTCACTGGATATGTAGCCACCATGAGACTCATTGTCATCTTCGCTTTCATTACCACTTGTGTCGGTCTCACATACAGTGAGGAAGGTGTTGAACCTAAAGCAAGTTCCCTTTTCTCCAACTTCCTTGTCCAGAATTCCTATCTCTCCACCCATTAAATGTATCTATCACAAAATAAACTACTGATTTAGATACTTCTCAATTCATTCTAAAATTCTGGAGATTAATAAACCGCAAGTAAGAAAAGTTTAGCACCTTTTAAGCATTTAAATACCAGAGATTGAACAATACCAAGCCCTAAGCCAGTGCCTGCTTGTCCAGGAGCTGTCTCTTTGACCTGAACATAGTTTTCAAAAACGGATTTTTGCTTCTCTTTAGGAATTCCCTTTCCTGTGTCATTTACCTCAAATGCAAATTCCATGTGTTTGGGATCTTGTTGGAGTGTGTTGTTCATGGCTTCCAAGTCATTGTATGATTTATCATTCTTAAAGCAGAAGCATGATATGCATCCTATTGAATTGTTTCGATTAGAAGCAAGTATCGACTTTTCAAACCTAGGTTTCCTTGCCCAAACTCGAACAGAAACATGTCCCTCAGAGGTAAATTTGACAGCATTGCTCAGTAAGTTACATAATATCTGTTTCAGTTTCCCCCGATCGCCTTTAACATGAGAAAGTTTTGTAACAGAGCCATCATAGGGGTCCAACACCACATCTACACCCTTTTTCATACCAAGAGGATGATATAAATCAACTACATCTTCAAGTAGCTGTGCCAAGTCAAATTCTTCTTCTTCAAGTAGCATCTTGCCAGCTTCAATCTTGCTTGTATCAAGAATAGAATTCAGTATACCTGCACAACTGATAATAGATTCAGTATTTTTTTTTTTATTGAAGAAAAGGGGTGGAGGTAAAGGAGAGCGCCTAGAGACCACCTTGATAGACCCTCAGGTGGGATTATGATAGCGCGCCCCTTATTTCTCTCAGGAAAGAACCTAGTTAGACTAGTATAATGATTAACCACCGAGTTCTAATGTGGAGTGTAAGACTTGAACCTCCAACCTCCCAGTGAGAAGATCGGCCGGTACTCCACTGAACACCCCACCCAGTGGTTGATAATAGATTCAGTTATGCATGAATAAGCTTTTCAAAACATTTTCAAATTATGGCTGACAATTCTAGACACGGTCTTTGAACTTCTGGATTAACTTTGATAGTTTAGATGGTAAATGAGTGAATTCCTCAAACCCATCAAATAACTACATGTCAAGCCATGAATTTAGCTAATCGCAGTTTATACATGATGTAAATTTTACACAATACGAACTCAATTATACAAATGGGTCTAATATGGGTTGAGCAAATTTTTATGTAGACATGATGATGTACATAATTTAAGAGCACGAAACAACACCACTCAGTGACGGAGAAACAAAGATTGAAGTGGCAGAGAGTAAATTTACCCAGAAGATCCTTTGTGCAGGCTACCATTGGTGTTAAGTTTGTCTCCAACTCGGATCCGGGAGAGACTTGATTGTGACATATCCCTATCAAGCCAGTTATGCCGGCTAGAGAAGCACGCACATTATGGCTGGCACTTGCAAAGGCGAGACTCTTATTCATTCTCTTTCTTTCTGTTTGTTGAGTTGCTTCCATTTGATTTATGAGTGCAACATATAAATACATCTCTCTTCTGGCTGCTCTAACAACGAAGAACACAAAAATGAAAATGGAGAGCACCATTGCACCAATCATCAGCTTAAGGAGCATGAACGCGAACTCGATGTTTTTGTTTATAACACTCTCTAGTCCCTTGTGAGCCATAGCCAACACATATACCTGAAATTTCGATATAACTGGAATTATATAACTCCCATACCACAATGAATTACCACTAAAATCTCTTTTTGTTCCCGGGAAAAAAATCCCGTGGGCTAAGACTCAAAAAATTCCCCTATTAGGAAGCAACCGGTCAGAAACGAAATACAAGACATTCATAACCCATATAAATCTTGCGCAAATATATATTTTATGTAAAGAGCCAAATTTCGTTTGGGTGCATAAAAATGTTGAGAGAAAATTAGAATTTTTGTTCTTAAACATCCTGGAACATCCCAACATGTGAAAATTTTAATTTGCTATTACTGATTTGTTTTTATTTTCACTGAAAAAATGAAATGGTTGGGTGTAAACAAAATGTAATTTGGATCCTTGTATGAGTGCATGGTCAAGAATTCGCAATTTTAAACTTAGAAACTGTTTTTTTATTTTTGAAAATAGTTTTCGAGAGAAAAGATGTTAGACCTGTAAACTTTGATCAAATAAACATTTGAGTGTCATTGACTGCAACAATAGATACAGAGGGAGAGGAATCAATAAAAGCAAATAAAGAAGAATTATTAGTCATGTGATGGGTGGCTCCTGAGTCAAAAATCTAGGCAGTTCTAGATATACTTGAAGGACCTGAAGTGAAAAAATATACTGAGGGAGAAACTGATAGGTCACCTAGTTGGCGAAGTGAAATAAGCTTCTGTAATTGATCAAGTATAATAGTCATGCTGGGAGCTGATGGGAGTGACTCATCCACCGGTGATACAGCTGCTGTTGTATGATAATCTTTAGGTTTAAATCGCTGATTTAATACCCCTTAGCATTTTTGTTTATAAATTTTGGATATTGTACCTTCCAGTGACTCTTACTAATAGTCTGAAGTGAATTAAAATTTTCACTTGTCATAAAGTTAACCAAAGGATCAAAAAGCCCAAATCAAACAGCTCAAATCAAACAGCCAAAATAGGTGCAAAGTCCAAAGCCCAAATCAACAAAATAATGTCCAAATCAAATAGCTGAAAGCCCAATAGTCCAAAGTAGGTGCAAATTTAAAGTTTTGTTCTCAAACTCAAAACAAGAGCCAAAGAGAATACCAGTGAAGCCAAGAGCAGAAACTAAAATCAGAAGAAGCAGTCAATGCCAAACAATTCATAGTTTGTTACAAATCAACTTAACAACTTTGTAAATCAAATACCCATAATAAATTGAGGTTTCTTACACAAAAATACAACAAAAATAACACTAAAAATCGAAATTCAGCATTGTTCACAGCGTAAACAGTAACTTCGGTACTGTTCATAACACATGAACAGTAATTTCGGCACTGTTGTTCACCGAATTAATAATATTTTTAGCACTGTTCACCAAGTGAACAGTATTTTTGGCACTATTCATAACCCTTAGAACCACAAAAAGTCAACAACTCACTAATCACTAGCTCTCAAATCACACAACCTAACACCAAGAACATTTAATCACACTACTTAGGCTTGATATGAAGTAAAGAAGTAGAAGAAAATAGCAAAAAAAAATCGTCATAGATGATGTTAGTCCTAATCCAAAAATATATTATTTCTCTAACTAAATTACTGTGATGCTACAATATATTTTGGATTAAAATCATGCTCTGATACCATGTAAACTTTGATCAAATAAATAAGAGCGAAATGAGAAAGAGAAAATATTATTATTGCTAAACAAGTCTATAATACTACTTTACCTATAATACATAATGTAGACCTTTATATAGTAGGGCAACAAAATAATGTAAAATTTATAAACTATTTATATTAGTTGTTTTTTTGTTTTTATTTTTTGAAAATCGAAAACAAAAAATAGACAAATTTAAAGAACAAGATATAACTATTTTGTGTATTTTTATAAACAATATTTCCAGAATTTAGAAAACATCACCTTCTTCCACCACCACCACCACCAACACCAGTACACTTCCACCAAATCACCACACTCCCACCACCAGTACATCTACCACCATCAACACCACCACGTCCACCACCACACTCTTACCATCACATTTCCGTCATCACCAAATTTATGTTTTCATTATTTTTTGGGTTACTGTCTAAATAAGTTTTATTGTTTTTAGTCTGTAAAACTGTTTTTGAAATTATAAAACAAAACAAGTTTTGCGATATAAAAAACACAAAAACACACTTTTCTAAAACTTTAAAAATAAATACTTTTCAAATATTATTTTTTGGAACGCAAACAAAAAATGGCCGAAATTTCCAAAGCATTGAATTGAAACATACCGATTGCACTCCAAGGATTTGGATTTCCATCGGTGAGCAATAAAACATAAACTTCATCTCCCAAATGTTCAAGATAGAAGCTCTTAAGGCACCATCATTGGGTTCACATGTAACATTACCAACCTGGCCTATTTGATCACCGTTTGGTTTCAGCAATTGAATTGAAACCGAATTACCAACAAGAACCATGTGGGTATTTGGGATCCCTTCACCGAGTACTTTCCCATCCATTGTTGCCAAATACAAGCTTCCTCCATTGCGACTTACACCGGAGAAGAAATCCAATACTGATTTCACTGGAAACCCTAGAGAGATAGCTCCTCTTCCATCCATACCCACCGTGTTAAGGAACAGAAGATCTTGACCGTTAATCCACCCAGTTCCTATTGAAGCATTCCCATTTGTGCTATTCAGAGCTTCTTGAAACCAGCTTGCCTTAACTGTAACCAATGGAAGAGACTCCACAGCTTCACCGTATAGCTTCCCGGTGTCCCGGTTTACCGGCTGAGTGTACCAAGTGTACTTTGTTGTGGCTTTTGGCGTAGTAAAAGACGTTGAGTTGAATTTGAATATACAGCAAAAGGTTGATCACCTTTTGTGTAGTACGAGAAGAAAAAACCATATAATCCAATGTGTGAAATCTGTAATAGGTGTGGGATTGTTGATAATGCTTGAAACAGTACAGGAGCCACCTGCTCAATAGTAGTAACCCAAAACAAATTAGAAAAATGTTTTTCAAAATCATTTTTATCTCTGTTTGAACTTAAAATATAAAATCTCAAGAATGCTCGGATATCTGATAAATTGGAATGTATTAAGAAGATGTCATGTGATAGAATTTGAAAAAAGGAGAGAGATGATCAATCACAACTACATTTGAAAAAAAAAAGTAACTAATTGGAAGTTACCGGTCAGACAACCATCGATAGAGATAAAATTGTCAAAAACAGTGGCTATAAAAAGCATGTAGTGGAGAAGATGAACGATACATTTAAACCCGACCCACGATCTAAGCATTTTAGAAGTAGTATTAGATTAGTTATAGGAAAAAACTACTATTACAATTAAAACTGTTAATCCAGTCTTTTTTGTATCCAAAGTTTCTTCGATTGAATTAATAAAAGAATCATCTTTTATTTGTTTCTATTACAATTCATCCAAAAAAGTCATAAAACAAGATATTTGAACTTTTCACATACAATCACCTGAAAACTGTCAGTCAATTGGATTTTTTTCCGTCAATAAAAACATAATTTAGAGCAACAATCTCATCACTCTTTTAGATAAGCAAGAGAAAGAAATACTAACCTTGGTTTCAATACTAGAGAATGGAAGTTCGGGTTCGTCGATAGATGAACTAAAAACTCTCACTAAATTGGTTGCCGATGAATTCATCGGAATAAACACCGCAGCTATATTTTCAATTTCTGAGAGTAGGTTTTGGTGTGAAATCAATTTCACTTCATCTTCAACTCTTCTGACCTTGGTAATCCAAAATGGGATCACCAAACCGGGTAGCAGCAGTACTACAAATGGCTGCATAAGGCACTCATGTGTATCAGTTTCTTTCTTTCTTCTTAAATTTAGAGAGAGATGAAACCTTATGGAAACATTCCTCAATTATCAAAACTTACCAGAACAATGAAGAAACAAACAGGCCTCAGCACTATCAATGAGCTGAACTTCATGAGACCTGGTGGTTGTGATTGTGAACAATGGAAGGCTAGTACCTTCTTTGCTTCACCATGGGAAAATTAGGAGTACATGCTGAGATCCCTGGTTTAGGAGAATTAGAGCAATTTAGAGGTCATAAACTTTTTACAGTGGAAGATAATTTAAATAAGGAAACTATTAGACCGCAGTCAATTAAGGTCTTTTATGATGGGAAGAGCTACATAAAGCAAGTATATGAATGCATATATATTCTCTACAAACCAGCAAAATTGAGGGTTGATTAATTCTAATTTCTACATTACAAATCACCAACACATGCTTTACACCATCCTCCTAAGCAAAAAGATGATTTCTGCAATATATCACCATGGATTTTGAGTATATAAAATTGGGGCATCATATCCCAACCCCCCCCCCCCCCCCCCAAACAAAAAAAAAAAGATAAACACAAATTTTCCTTGAGAGAATGGTGAACTTATTTTTTTTCCTGTATAAATTGCTTCACTGCAAAAAAATATAGATATACAATATAGTTCATGAATTCTAAAAGGTCGTCTGATTATTTTTTTTTGGTACATCAAAAAGTATAAAACAAACAAATTAAAAAGAGTTCATAGGAAATGAAACATTGACCACGTCCGCCATTAAACAACTAGCAATTTGAGGTGGGAATCCTTGAGCTCAACAAAAAATTGCAGTTGGCTGACGCTAAGGTTTGTTAGTTTATCTGTACACTGATTTCCTTCTCTGAGATTGTGAATCAATTCCATTATCCGATTTATACTCACTAAAGAAACATCCACGAATCTAGAAGTTGTGAATAATTATTTAATTAAAAACAAAGTATTACAAACACTTTAACAATAAAAACCAAATCTCCCTATCTCCCTTTATGCATTAAAATCTCTAAAAAAAATTAATAAAAAGAAATGCTAGTAATTAAGGTCTTCTAGTTTACATTAAACAAATTCATTAACCAAACCCAATATTTTAGCCATTTTTTAATATCATGGAATTATTAGTAATTTATTTCTTCTCCATTATATTTTTAGGTCAATTTAAGAAAAATATTATTTAAACTTAATTTGAGAATCTAATCAATTACAATTACTCAACTAATATGACGACCACGTTAAATTAGGTCCATATAATATTGTTCTAAATTTATTAACCAAATCTAATATTGTTGTTATATCAATTGCGGTATAGATAAACTTTTTTAAATTTTTTAATAGAAGATATTGCCCATAATTAAAGTCTTTTTAGATTATATTCATTTAATAGAATTGTTAGTTAAATTCATTATTATCGTTAGGGTTGATAATAAATCGAACTTAAATATTTTTTTTTTAAATTAAATTTAAAAAAATTGTTCAAATTTAATTATTTTAAAATCAAAATAAATCGAATACGTGTAAAACGGTTCGATTATCGACTCTAATTACCGTTGATATTGATGGAAATCCCAACGACAAGATTTTGATTTGCAGAAAAAACGAAAAAAAACGACCGTTTTTCCAAAACGGACAAGCACGCGCAGCTCCGAGAGGAAAACCCCCAAATTCCCGCCAAAGCATACGCCGATTGTATAATTTCCCGGGAAATTCCCGCCTTCTTCCTCACTCCTATATTCATCAAAGCCCTCTTTTCAACTTCCATTCTTCATTCCTCTCTCTCTCTCTCAGAGACAACTAGGGTTTCTCTCTCATCATCTCTTCCACAGTCTCTTTTTATCTCTGTTGAAAAAACACCTTTTGTTCGATGGCCTCGTCACGTCGATCGAGCAATGGCCGATCACCGCTAGTGAATCAACAGCGTCAAATCACCTCTTTCTACTCCAAGACGACATTATCTTCTCCTTCCCCATTGCCATCCCCTGTTCTCTCCAAACAAGCTTCTAAACCTAACCCAAGCCCTAGCACTAGCTCCAGCCCCACTACTCCTTCACCTCTCCAAACCAAACGCAAGAAGCCCCTCTTAGTGATCAGCCCATCTCCACCATCACCGTCAAGTCCTGCTTCCGACACGGCCAAGAAATGGTATGGAAAAGAGGTCGTGGACAAAAGAATTAGGGTTTATTGGCCGTTGGATAAAACATGGTACGAAGGTTTTGTTAAATCTTTTGATAAAATTTCTGGGAAGCATCTGGTTCAGTATGATGATGCTGAGGAGGAGCTACTTGATCTCGGGGAGGAAAAAGTTGAGTGGGTTGGGGAACCGGTGAACAAGTTTCGACGATTGCGTCGCCTTTCCATGGTTGAAGACGATGTTGACAAAGAAGAGGAAAAGAGAAGTGTGGAGGATGTGGAAAGTGGTGGTGGTGATTCTGCGGACGAAGATTGGGAAAAGAATGCAGAAAAAGAGGAGGTTGAGGACGTCTCAGAGGATATGGATTTGGAGGATGAGGAAGAGGATAATGAAGTGGAAGGTGGGAAGAAAATGGCCGCGTCAAGAAAGCGAAAGGTGATTGGAGGAGCGAATTTAGGTTCTAGAAAGAAAAGCAAGAGTGTTGGAGATGTTAAAAAGAGTACGTCTAAGGTTTCTTTGCATATCAATGGAGGAAAACCGAGGGAGGCTACTAATAACATTGATTGTAAGTGATGGGGTTTGAGAATACTATTAATATACTTATTTCAATGATTCTCATTTTA